TCAAATTTTGTTAAAATTGAACAACAACTTGAAGGTAATCAAAGTGTTCATATTTTAGTATATTTTGAAATGTATATATTACGTCAATTTTGTTTTACGAGAATGAAGTATCAAATCATCTTAGATTAATATAAAATTTGATATATATGATCTAAGTGATATGAATTTTCAATCTAACGGTTGGATTTACAAAATTCACATTTAATATAAAGTTATTGAGCGGTGTAACACTTAATAAAAGTTATACCGGTGTCGTTTGAACCCTCCTCATATAATATATATATATATATATATATATTTTTTTTTTAATAAAAGTATTTATGTTGGTCATAAAAATATTTTTAAATATTAAAATTAGTTTAATAGTAAGGCGATAATATTTAAACGAACATTTCATTATATCTAATGTTGATTAAAAAAGTTGAGTATTGATTAAATAAATAAAGAAACTATAATTCTCTTTCAATTAGATAACTAATTAAACATAAAAATATCTTTTTTTGATTTGATATACAAGTTCACAAAACCCATTACAAAAGAAGAGAAAAATATCAAACTATATGAGAGAAGAGTGACCACTTTTGTAATGCACCCAATTGGATAGGTGCATCGGGTGCGTTGGTTGGCCTAAATTTTTTTACCACTTGAAATAAGTAGTTAATAAGTTAGTTGTAAATTAAAAAAAAAAATCATCGACCAAATATTGATAAGATAACCTATTAGAAGTGTTTCGTAAAACAAATCAATTAATTGTTAAACTAACTTAAACATAGCAAAATTGATATAAAAAAAAAACTTAATCATATATAAAAAATATATTTACATTTTTCACATGTATTTGACAATATGCATATTCTTAAATTTATCATCACGAGTTTAATTTATTCTTCTTTTCAGACAATTCATCAAGCACAACAACGAAGTTAATGTTGAAAGAAATATTAATCTTGCACTATTCAATCGCTAATCAAAGAGTGTGAGGAATATATTATGTATGATAATTTGAAATTAAAAACACCATAAAAAACATTGGATGTCGATGTAAAATAAAATTAAGATTCGTGAAGAAGACCAGAAACACAATTTTACAATAAAAAAAAAATAACTTTCCAAAAATATCTCTACTTAAAAAAAAATACCGACTAATGCTAATTTAAGACTATGAAGTGGTTTAAATTTTTTGACATATGAAATGGAAGGAATATCTCTAAAACAATACTATTCAAGAGTAGAGGAATTATATCATAAATATTTTTTTTTTCATAGAATAAATATTGATATTTATTGAATTTCACACATTAATTAGTGAAGAAGATAAAATTTATATTAAAAATGGTATTAGAGTTGATCTTAACACTTATTATAGAGTATATTGAACTACTCACCATCATATTATTATTGGATAATCTACAAATATAAGTTCTACTAATTTCATACACTTGAAATGTTCATCAATGTAAGAAAATATATTAGAAATTTCACATTGATTAGTGACAACTAAAAAGAAAAAAACTAACATGGTACAATCAATAGCCAGAATCTGAGTATGAAATGAGAATACAAAGTTTATTTTTGAGAGATGAGGTGCAAAGAAATTTTAACTCTAATATACAAAAGAAAAAATGTATTAAAGAAAAATATAACAAAGAAGTTATAAGCTAGTGAAATTAATTTATTAAACACTTTTAGTTTGCTAAAAAAAATAAAATAAAGGTATAAACTAGTAAATGTGATCTCAAAGATCAAAGACACTATGAATGAAAATGGGGCTTTGCAGTTGTAGGGTCTGCTTTCAAGTTTGACAATAGGTGGGTGTTTGTGTTTTGGGGGGTGGGGGACGACTGGTTTTACGATGGCAGCAAGCAAGGGGTTGGATGGGAGTTATGGGTCAGCCTAAAAATTAATTATCCTCATAAGTGCATTCATGCACCTTATCCTCTTTAGACTACTTAAATTTATAATATGCATGAATTAATCATTTTTCTTGTATGCATTTTCACAAAGAGATAATTACATAAAAGCCTTAGAAATTTATTAATTAAATTAAAAAACATTATTTCAAATTTAAATATATCTTTTCAAACATTGCAATTAAACATTAAATTAAAGGAAGAAAACGAAATACTATAAATAAAACTAGCTAGCGAACTATCGTATTCGTTGAGTCAACCAATATTTTCTTTAAATATTTCTCCATGCATTCAACTTTGTTGAGTATAAAAATGAAAAAGAAAGGAAGAAGGCAGATCAAGATTATTTCTTATTTAATAAGCCATGGCGATTCTCTTAAATATTTCATATTTTCATTCTCTCCTTCTTTGATGTAAACAACGGAAAGGAACGTAAGTAATGTTTGTGTTTCCCCAAACAAAAAGGAAGCGTTCACATCATTTCCTTTTTGTTTTACTTTTGCGATACCAACTGAGTCTTTTCGAACGATCAATTATTCAATTTGTATGTTTGGTGTCTATAAGTCTGATCCTTAGATTGGTTGTACATATTTTTGTTTTTCTTGTCCTCCGAGGAGGAACATATAAGCAAGTGCCGAGGTCTCATATACATTGGGGCAGAACAGTTTCTTGTGTTATATATAAAACTTTTATAATTTTCTCATTTTTTAAAAAAAAAATATTGATACTTTATTTATATTATCCCTTAATATACAAATATTTGTTTCTTCGATCTCTAACTTATTGTAACACCCACACACTGTTTTTAAGATTACTCCTGGGCCCTAGCCCATATCCTTCCTTGTAGCTGACTCCTATGTCTTTTCTCAAGTCGTTGATTCGACTAGGAAATGAAAATATTTGATTAGAAAGGCAATTAAGAATGATTAGCGGTTACTCGAAGTAACTTCTAGTGAAGTCAAGCAATTCAATTCAAGAAAACTAGGATTAGCTTTAATTAAAAGGACTCGTCCACCATGGGAATTCCCGACTAAATGGTGCTGAGTTGCTAGTGACATGCCATCTTTTGGTACAAATTTTGGCACTAATATTTTATTAATTATTACCCTGAAGGAACAATGTTTACCAAATTTAAGAAATTGTAACAGAAAAACTAATCTGTTCTTAATTCGATCGATTTCACGGCAACCACACCAACCACATTTACTTGATGGAACAAATCAAATTGCTTTAAACTCCAGCATGACCAATGAGAACTTAATCATAAATAAATGTCCAAGTACTCCACGGGGTGATGATAACCATTAAGTTGAAATATTATACAACTGAAGTGAAGTTGTATATTATGGGATGAACACAACATATTATTACGAAAGTAAAACCAAGCTCAATCATGTACATTCACCTAAGCATACAGCTCCAACTACAACAAACTGAAAATGTGATCAAACGGAAGAGGGCTGGGGGAGGCTAACTTACTACTACTCCAGCGAATATCCTCAATCTAATGGTGAGGAGTGAGAGAAGGAAAAGAAGGGATAGATTGTAATATCAACTTCCTCCCTCCTCTGCGAGTAGGAGATGATGATCCAACGTCACAATTAGGAGAGGAGATCCTCTTGCCATTTGGAGAAGAAGTTTTGATGCAGGTGGCAGGAGAATCATCATCCGGAACAGTTTGCAAAGGCTTTTCAATTTTAGGTTGAGACCGTGAAGCGTTTGATTTCCCAAGCTTTTGGCTGACAAACAAACCAGAACTAGAGATGGTAGTAACAAAAGATCTTGGTGGCTTACCCTTTGATGAAAAGGGTAATGGAAGCAATGGTCTGTTACATAAAAATGAACCGAGATTAATAATCAATAATGGACGTAAATTTTATCTTCTAACCTGGCAAAAACACTGCATATCAAACCTGGAAAGCTGTAATGGTGTGGCAGCAAGAGCACAATCTGGATGGTCTTCAGTATTCTGAATTTCATATTTCTGTGTAGCATTTTCCACCACACCCTTTTCACACGCTTCTGTTTCTTCTTCAGGTTCGGCTCCTATTCCAGAAGGAACAGAACCTGAACATAAAAAAGAAATTGTCATAAAAAAATTTTCACCTCAAACATATAGCAATGCATAACTCCAATTAGTGCAACATAAAAGAGAGATTTACCATCCTTTCTACCAAATGTGTTCTTGCATCCTTCACATCTACAGCTTATGGAACAACCAACACCACCCTTAAAGAAAAATAACAAACATTGGTAATTCAAGTTAAAACTGAAATTGGAGGCATACATGATACAAGAATGCAGAAAACCTGATAACATTCACAATATTTCTTTAGGCAGCTTGATTTCTTGCAATTACATCCTCTTTTGTGTCGTGCTGAAGCTGGAGTTTTGTTAGGATCATCCTGCAAGAAAAAAAAATTAATATAGAAGAAAATGTGGTTTAAATTTGAAAGTGAAAAATAAAGTGAAATTTTATTTTCTAACCCCAATTTCAGGTACAGAATCAGAACTACGTATGACTTTGGGAGCAAATGCAAGTGGATTACGAGATTCAATCTGCTGGCGAGTTTGAAGAACAGTATCAACATGAATAGGCTTGTTGAAGCAATCACGACATGCACAAGGTTCTATGCAGTAGACTCCAGCAGCAAAGCACTCACAATAACTGATAAAAATGAAGGCTAATTAGAAAGACATTAAAGCCTGTTTTCTTCTCAACCTTTCATGACACAAAATATTGTAACTGTAAGAGAAAACATTACTCTTAAAATTGGAGGAAATTGAGATGATACATGCACCAAGACCAATAAAACATAGATAACCAACACCTATTTGCTTGGCGGAGGTAATTTTAAATTTAGGGGATACAAATCTTAGCCGATGTTTTCAAAGATTTAGTCAAAGGGACTGATTGAAGGATATTTGCCGAATAACGTTATGAGAATATAAGAAGATAAAGCATTAAACTAGATATAATTTGAACAAAACACACAGGAAATGGCTATCGAAAAAATCATACCAGCACCAGCATAAGCTCAAGCAAACAAAGTTACTTATAAAATTATCCTACCTTGATGACCAAACTTAGTAACTCCTCTTAGTAAAAGTACATTTTCAATTCAAAAGAAAATCTTTCTAAATCATTTTGACTAAGATGTCACCTGTAAGGACTTGCCTACCCCAAAAACAGATAAACTCCTCATCTATATGTTTAGCAGTTGCTTTTCAATATTTCAAGAGGCAGGTCAAGCCCAATTTAATAGCCTGATCAATTATGCATAGGTAAATATTATTTATACAACATATAACCAAATTAACTATGTCAAACCTTGAATGTTCTTGCTAATCCTTTATAGGACAAGACTGACAGGAGTTTCCCAAAATCCATAACCAAAATTTTCAAGTTAACTACCAGGTAGAACAATCATTGTATGTATCCACATTCCACACCAACTGATCCTTTTAAAAACTTACAATCCCTCATATTTAGGCTGTCAATACTTCCTAACAAGTCATTTGAGTGATTTCAGATAAGATTTAACATGGAAAAAAGGATTGAGTGGCAATATTAAACAACATGCCCTGCTGTGAGGATTGCAGTGCTGCACACTATATTTCTACGTGCAAATGCAACTACTGTAATTGCATATCTAGCTGACTTAATTGTTTTAACAATCAAGGCTTCATGGAAGTCTACATTTTCATCTTCAACAACCAGAATTCATAACTTCACACAGAGAAAGAAGTAGACACAGTAAACTCCTTGTTTAACAAAAAAAAAAAAAAGAAGAAATCCAAAAGACAGTAAAACGGTATAGTAAAAGAAACTAAAAAAATCAAAGGCCGTTGCAAAATATGATAGCATGCCAACCCAAAAGATAAGGGGAGTGTTTCTTTTAACTTACAGCTTCAAACACTTTGATTTCTTACAATTACAACGTTTGCACGACTCCCCTTCCCCAGCTGGTTCCAACTTGCGCCTGTAAATCCAGCGTTGGTATCAGGCTAATGAAGAAATTTTAAGCTAAAATATAATGGAATGAAGATTATCAAGCAGAACAGATAATCAGCAATTGTACTAGCCTTTTCTTTTTTGGGCTATTCTGCTGGATATCTTCACCTTCCACGTGAACTAATGACTGGGCACAATCTTCACCAGGCTGAACCTCATTCTCTGATGGCTCCAGATCTCCTTCCACTGACATAGCTACCAATGATAGTTGATGTTCTTGGCTTGCAGAGAGTTGCAAGGATGAAGAACTGGATAGATTAGGCTGCCTTCCAGATGACAAGTTCTCAATTTTTATGTTTTTGCAGTCGTTGAAGGTTGCAAGTGCATTCAAGTGCAAACCAATTCCTGGCAAAACACACCTCCGTGAATCACCACTGTGCTTTGTAGGAAGCAGTTGCTTTTCATTACCAACATTCCTCACATCAGATTTCACTGTACTAGAATTGGTGTTTGAATTATCATCTGAGTTCTTCCTTTGCACACTGGCCATCTCAAAATCTAGGCAGCGTCTCCGTATACCCCGGTGTGTCACATAAACAAGCTAAATACAAAGACAAAAGTGCTTTTAGATTGACTGATATGTTCAACACATTGACACAAGTAGAGAGAAAGAAAAATATTAAGTCTCATCATAAATTTAAACCATAACAGAATTGCATAATATAAAAAATTGTGTAACACTCTACCTTACTATAACATATGTTAGGGAATGAAAAATGCAGAAAAAATTAGAATAATGACCATTTGTCATAAGATGTACTTTCAAAGTAATGATTGACAACAACCCACAGTCATACAGCATTTTGCTAGAATTATAAATTTCATATATAAACAATACAGGAATATGTTAAAAAAATAATTAAGCATATACATGGACAGCATTCAACAAATCAAGACTTTTGACATAAATTCATGAAACATTCAACTACATGCAAGAAAAGCTCTGACACACAATTCACTGCAAGTCAAACAGACTTCAATTTCCTACCTTATCATCCATTTTCTCACTTGGATTGCTAGCCATCAAAGCAACATTGGCAAGATTGTCCTGTCTCTGACTTGTGTCTGTGGCTGCTGCTGCTTCAGAAGGACGATCTTCAATTTCATGTTCTGAACCAGAAGCAACTGCATTAACAATGTGCATTTTATGACCATCATTGATGGCAGATTGTGGTAAAGTAGTCATAGAATTGCTAAGCTGTATTGAAGGGTTTAGTTGTTTATTTAGACCTTTAAAAGCTTCTGTCACATTTTGGGAGCTAAACTTCAACAGATCAGAGGCTTCAGTGATTAAACCATCCACACCACAATCTTGGCCTTCAAGTTTTTCCTCAATCTGACATAATTCTGGAAGATGCATTTCACCTTCAATTGAACCTTTTTCCGAGCCTTCTGGGACATAGGCAACATCTGATCCTGGCTTGCCAGGCAATGCCAAAAGAGAGTTAACCTCATCACCACAGAGTAGAGGATCATACCCAGGGCTCCCAAAATTATATTTTAAGACTTGTGGAAGCTCAATTGAGGAGGTATTTGGGTTTTCATTACATTGCTCAATTGAGGCATCTCCTGTGGAAACCCTTTTATCAGTATTTTCCTGTAACTCTCTTGATTCACGACATGCATCATGAATTGAATCTGCAGGAGTCTCTTCACATGAATAAACATTATTTGCATCTTCAGACGGCACCTTAGGCTTGGATGTGTCCAAAAGGTTATGCCTACAAAAGAAATAGAGAACAATCAAAAACATGCCGCTGAAACATGTAGAATTGAATATAGACCAATGTCACTCGCAATCATTAATTAAGAACAAAAAGAAAGAAAAGATTTCACAGTTACCTCCTGAAGAACCTGGATTCCTTGTGACAGTTGACATGGGGAGATGTGAAAACAGATGGAGGGGATGAAAAGCTAAGCGAGTTGAATGTCTGAGTAATGTGAACTGACTTAACGGGCTCTATAGGAGATAGATTACTGATATAGTTAAATACAGGCGAATCCTGCATATCACCAACCATAAAAATGTGAATAAACTGAGTGAAGTAAAAGAAAAAAGTATGCATACACATCATGAATGTCGCATTAAGAAAGACTAGGGTAAATCAAAAAATAATGTACAAAATAATCGGTTAACAAACCGGATCACATGGGGACAGCATTCATCATAACTCGGCCCAAAAAAATTTCAAGCACAAAACCCACAGGAAAAATGACCATTGACCTCAAAGCAGAAGATCGAAGAAACATAAAAATGATGGATTTTTTAAACAAATTTGGGGAAAAATCAACTTAAACTTGAGAAGCAGCCGAATCTGAGAAAATTAACTTGCCTATACAACACAGAAGCAGAGATTTTTAGTAGCACTTAAACATTAATTAAAAAAAAAAAAGGTTTTAAACAGAAAATAAAGTTAGTAGAAATTGAGGGGGGGAAAATACATGCAAAGAAAGCGAGAGAAGAAGGAAAACCTCGAATTGGGAAAGAGGGGTGTTGATCTTGCTCCTATCAGGGGTGTCCATTATTTGCAGAGAGCGAGAGGAAACTTCAACATTCCTCTCTTTCTCTCTCTAAAGAAAATGAGGGCTTTACTTTACTTTACTTTACTTTACTGTTTCAGCGGATTCAAGAATTGAAGAGGCGGGAGAAGCCACTTTCTCTACCCGACCCTACCACCCATCTCTACACTCTACTATTCACATTCCACGACGTAGCTACCCATTTTATTGCTACTTTCAAAGTTTTATATTAATTCACTTTATTACTTATAAACAGTTTCTTTACCAGCATCATTTACTAATTAATAACATTTTCTTTTATCAAAACTGACAGTCAACATGTTTTATTTTTCCTAAAACAGTTTTCTTTTTTATTTTTGCTATTACTTAATACAATTTTCTACTTATACATTATCACAAATCAAATTCATGACCCAATGGGTGCACACTCAGCTTCTGGGAGAGAAGTTTCATCCTATACTCTTATCTTAAGGAGGGGTGAAAAACTTTTAAGTAATTATTATGAAAATTATAAGTTTGAAATTAATGAAAATGCAATAAATATATATATTTATCTATTTATTAGAGCATGTGCTGTATATCCATGTTAATCATGTGAAATGTGAAAACAATTCTACAATTACTTTATGATAATAATGATTATATCATTGACTTGAACTGCGTTAATAATGAGGATTTTTTTTTGCATGTTACTGGTGGTGGACACTTGGACTAGAGAAGAAAGTAAAAATAAAACGGATACCGTAAAACTATGCTGCCTCTTTCTTTTTTCAGTGCAGTAGTGTAACGTATTATTTCCTTTTCGTGACCAGACAACTAAGTATTTTTCTATGCTTTCTCAATGGTTGCTCAGTAGATTTTTCTGGTCCAGTCATTGTAATTGTAATTGTAGTAATTCCTAATAATAATAATAATAAAAAATCCAGTTATAAGTTGATAAACGATAATGATGGGCGTTTACGAAAGGAAAAAACGTCGGCAGTTTCATGTGCTAGAATTTAATTTTAATGCTTCCAAAATTTGATGTCGTGGAAACTTTCTATATGTCGACATAATTACTTAATTAGCCAGTGGACGCTGGGCATATGAAATAATGGAATTTTTTCAATAATTTTACTTAAATCAAATTTTAAGTCTATATGAAATAATAGAATTTTAACTTTAGTTCTTTAAAACAAATTCCTCGTGAAAAATTTTGTTTTACTTTTATCATTGCCATTAAATCTAACAAAAGAAAAAAAAAATATATATATATATATATATATAAAGATCAAATAAAAAAAAAGTTTAAACTACTAAAGGGTATAATATTTTTAAAAAAATATATGATCACTATGAGAAGAGACGGGTCCATGTGTAGGAGAGTGGAGGCACTTGTCCCGCTACTATTTTACACACATATAATTTTTTTATAAAAAATCATATATTTTTTAAAAAAATATTATATTCTAATAAAATAAATAAATATATTTAAATTATCATGTATATAAAATATAAACTTAAAAGAGTTATTCATTTATTTGATATTTATCAAACTTTTAAAGGAGACCAGTTTTCATATGTGACAAATAATATTTCTTAATAACGAATTAATTTTTTAAAAGAGTAGTTTTTGATAAAATAAAATTTGTAGCATGTATGTTTACCCTTTATACTTTTTATTTATGTATACATTGATTAAAAAATTAAAATAATAAAGATTGTAAGATTGTATAAGTTGATTAAAAAAATCAAAATAGGAAATATTGGAAGATTTATATTCTATTTGGAATTTTTATTATAAAATATATTTTGATATAAATTATCATCCAATAAATTATATTAGATATAAAATTATGTTTATATCATTAATAAATTAAACTTAATTTTTATACAATTTAACATATTTATTTTTATGTTTTTATTAGTATTAAATTATCATAAAGTATATTTTTAAGATTGTAGTTCTAACCAAATATTTAAAAAATTTCTATGATAGATAAATAAGTCATATTTAGGACATGTATTTAAAAAATAATAATTTAAGTTCAAACCTACTAAATTATAATATAACATAGTTTGACCTAATTTATTTTTATCTTTAATCGTAATTGTAGATATAAAAATTTGTAAAAAATAATTATAATATATATTTATACTTTTAAAAGTTATTATATATTAATTTTTAATATTATAAATATATAAATAAATATAAACTCCACTATTTAAAATTTCTGGATCCGTCACTTATCATAATCGATAAAAACTTTTGATCACATTAAAAAAAAATTGATCGTAGACACTTTTTAAGCGTATATATATTTTAATAATAAAAATTAAGCAGCAATCACTATGGATCATAACAACTTAATATTGTTATGGACCATAGTACTATTTGAGTTGCCTGAACATTACTGAAATTGGAGCCCGTCATGTTATATATTTTTTACTTAGAAATATTTTTTAAATAAAAAAAATAGGACTGGTCGTTGTGGATTATAACATCACTTGCCTTGATTGCAAATTGCTCCAAATTAGAATGTGTCACATTGCCAATTTTTTTGACATAGTACTATTTTTTAAATAAAAGTAAGGGTTGGTTGCTATTGATCATAGCAATTTGAGATCGTTATGGATTGTAATTTGTAACATCACTTAGGTTAGTTGCAAGTTGCTGCAATTGGAGCGTCACATTGCTCTAAAGCTGTAAAATAAAATAAAAATACCTTCTATAAATATGTAATTACCATGATGGTCCCCCCTTTCTCCTTTGTGCCCCTCTTTTCTCAAACAAAATTGTCTCATTTTTCTTTCTTTTGTGCTCTCTCTAAAACAAAGTCTAATGTTTTCCTATTTAGTTGAGTTAGTTGAAATATTTTTTTTTTTAAGTTTTAAAGTTGCTATAGTTCATAACATCCTATTTTTTATATATTTTAGTTTAATTTTTGGCTTATATTTTTTTTTTATTTCATGTAATGTTTTATTAATTTTCTTATAAATTTATTTTCAGGTTGGTCATGTCTTGTATATTTTCTTCTGTACAATTAAGTTGGTGATTCATTTATAGATATTTTGTTTTATTTTTGGTTGTATATGTATTTTAAATTTTTATTAATGTTATTTAATTATACTTTCTTTTACTTTTATGAAGTTGCTATACGTTTTTTTTTGTTACATTTTTACAATTGTAACATTATTTTTTATGATGTAGCCTTATTAGAATGTTGCAGTAATGGTATGGTATACTTTTTTAAAAAAATGTTTTTATGTTGTTCCGTTAAATAATTTAAATTAATAATTTTTAATAGTTTTTTAAATAAATAAAGTATCACTATTGTTGTTAATTTTTATATAAATTATTTTTTATTTTGTTTTTATGTTGTTTCATTAAATAATTTAATAAATAAATTATTTTTAGTCAGTTTTTTAAATAAGTAAATTACTTGTAATTTTTTATTTTTTGAATGTTGGTGTTTATGATTAGTGGGTTATTTTCTTCACTACATGTAGGTAATTTTATTTTTTTAATTTTTTTATATTTTAATTTAATTTTCAGTTTGTATTTATTTTTAGTTTGACTCTTGCTATCATTGATTGTCATCATTCCAATGATGATGACAGAGATGATGATGAAATGAAGATGATGAGGATGATAGGCATGGACATGAGGATGAAAATGAGTGGGGAGACAACGAAAGAAATAACAACAATAATGATAATGAGGAAGAAGACTAGGATGAGGTTGACTATATATATTTATGGTTAATGTGTAATTTGTTGTTAATGTATCTTTAATTTGAACATATTTGGTTTAGATTTAGATTTGGATATATTTTTCGTTTAATGATCCTGGTTTCCAAGCAACTTGTGATTCAAAAAATTTTGTTGAAAACATTTATATCATTAATAACTTTGATAAATTGATTTACGAACAATTGGTTAAAAAAATTACACAAATAAACTAGTAACATCCTAAAAATTAATAGATTGATCTTATAGTTAGACACTAACGGACAATTACATTTGTTGTGACTTTTTTGTTTGCATCTGCTACATTTTTGTCGTTATTGTGAACTTTCAACCTAGTTCATTTTTTTTCTTATTCTTGTTGCTTTTGGCCTACCTTTCCATCACACAGTTGTTGGATTGAGTACAAGTACCCAACATCATCACTTGGAGGATTAGGTCTTCATTACCAATCCGTTTCCAAAACCAAAGTATGTTTTTCAAAACATAATCAATTGTGTAATAAACTGGATCTATATTATCCAAAAATTGATTTCCACCTATTTTCATATTAATAAATACTAAGATTTTAATAAAACAGAATTCAAGTAATTTTTTTTTCAAACATTTATACATTAATCACAAATTTGAATTTTAGATGTTACCTCCTATAGATGAATACATAGAAATTGGTTCAACCACTGGACTATGAATAATAGCATCTGACTCCACGTGGCTATCAAACAATACACAATCATTTATTTCATCTTTATTTGATCCATCAATTCTTTGATATGACAATTAAACATGAGTGTCTTCATCATCATCATCATTTTAATTTGTTGGATAAATTGATAAATTTTGTAATTGAATTCTTAAAGAGTCTTATATCTCTATTTCAACATATAATTCCATTATTGACATGATATTTTGACTATGAAATGTTTCTATCATGCATTGTACATCATCATCGTCACTCAATTCTAACGAAGATTATATACTGACTTGATGGTGTGGAACTACAAATTTGTAAGTACTTGATTTAGATGAAGACACAATTTGTTGTGAATCATTTTCTTTAAGACATCTAAAGTTAAACATTGTTTCTTATACATTCTTTTTTCAACCCATCAAATGTAACACTTTTAGGACTTTCAAACATCCTTCCAATGTAAATATAAGTTACAATTTGATCAATAATATATGAAAAAAAAAACAATTATAATATAAATAAATACTCTTTATATTTCAATTAGAATAAAGTTTTACTCACCAATTTTAATGCTTGAACTCCAAATCTTTTGATAAAGTTTCAAATGTGAACAGTATGCAGTCATTGGGTGGAATATATATATATATATATATATATATATT